GCCATGCATTATGCTGAAGGCCAGGAGCCCTTCTCTGGAAAAAAATAAAATAAAAATGCCCACAACCCATTGCAAGCCTCCTGTCAAAGGAAACGCAAACAATGAGTGCCATTCTTTCCTATGTCTCTGCAGAAAAGCAGTTTAAACTTTTCCTGCTCTAGTGAGGTAGACTCAATGCGAGGAAGCAGAAAGAGAACAGATTGCTACGGGTAAGCGGGCCCACACCCAGCCTCGCTAACAGCCACCAAGGAACAGTTGTGCTGCTCTGCGAGCAAACCAGCTCCGAACAGCGCTTGCCAAGGCTTTCCCGACTCCATCCCTGGAGATCGCCCTGAAGCCTGCCTGATCACATCATCCGGGAGCGCTGCTCTCCAGGAACACTCCCTCGCGCTGGTGTGCGTGAGCTGCTACTTCTCACTCGCAGTGCTACCCTAATTCTCGCTCTTATTAATGCTGACACACTCCTTAGTCATTTCCCCCCCTCCCAGTTTGACCGTGTTTAGTCCTTTTTAACCTTTCTGTGTAGATCAATCCTTCCCAGTGCTATGAATAAATAAAAGCCTTCTGTTCTCATCAACAAAGTGGTCTTTTAACAGTTGCAAGAACAACATAGCAATCACTTGGAAAAAAAACAAAGCAAAACCAGCTAGTATTTGATGCATTTAAAAATCTCCGCTCCAGCTATTTTCTACTTTTTAGAAATGAGTGCTTTGTTAAATAGAGAAAACAGAGAGAAAATTAATGGGGAGCACAAGCAGCAGTAGGTGCCTGAGAGGGACCTGCTAACCCATCAGAAATGCTCACCACACACAAAATAGCAGCGGGGATGAAAAAGCAAGCTGAACTTCAGTTAGAAACATCTAAGGAATATGAATAAGGTGTTGGAGCTACAACCTTTCCCTTTGCTTTGATTTGATGTTACACATAATTTGAGAGTGGGAAATTCAACAGCTTCGAAGAGGATCAAAGAGTCGGAGGTCTCCACGTACCAGGACAGGCAGAGGGGAGGTTGGAGGGGCTGTCCTCAAGCAAATCTAAGGGCTAGGAACTGCTGCCAGGTTCGGGCTAAGTATTTCACCTCCCTCATCTTCACATAAGACAGCCACATTACCCGTAAGAAGCACCAGCAAGTCCAAGTGAAAAAGAGGGCCAGTGCCACTACTGTTAAAAAGTCTGAGAGAGAAGTAAATACATTTTTGTGGCCCTTGCATCTTGGAAATGCTTTTGTAACTGCTATTAGTTGACATGTACTTTTGAAGGTGAAATTGCGGTTGTTCTGGGCTCCGGCCATGTAATGCAACCATAGAGAATAAGATCTCAGCAAATGAGATGTTATAGGATGAGAGATGAGGATAGCTGGAACATCATGTGCTTTACCAACTGAAAATGCTCGGTATGAGAAAACAAAGCCACATTCTCTAGCCTTTATTCTCATTTTCCTTGGCTCTCAGCTTTACAGATCCCTAAAAATACTGCATTATAACTAAAGGAGCTGCAATCTGCCTGCGACTGAAGAATAACAGTATCACTCCAGTTTGATGAATCTCCCACGGGTATTCCTTCTAAGAAGGCTTTCCTAAATTGATTGCCAATAACCTAATATGTCTGTCTGTCTCTTTTTTCTGTCATCAGAATGTTGCCATAATAAAATAATAGTAATATAAAAAGGAAATTAAAAAAGTGAGATGTCATTTCAAAATACCTAAAGTTTGCAGAAATATATAGCAAGGTCATGCCAGCAGCCTTAACTCTGCCTTCATGAAGCTGCACGCCAAGTAAACCCAGAAATCATGGGAAACCATTGCCTGCTTATTAAAAACACCATATAAGAGACCACAGAAAAAAAATGCTGTATTACCAAGAAATACCATTTTTCATTTTCATGGGATTGATATAAAACAAAGCAATTTAACAATATTAGATCTAAGGTAGGGTTAAGAGGTCTTCTGGAATTAAATTTTCACCACTGCCGTGGAAAATTTCTAATACATATCTATGACGTCCAGTGGTCTTGGGATTACTATCAAATACTCAAAAGAGAAAATGCATGAATCCTGCCGTACTAAGAGAACTGAGCCAGTGATACCTTATACAGGGCAATACTAAGACACAAATTAGGGTGAATACTGTTACTCCATGAAATGTCAACCTTTTTGCTGAAGCCTTGCATAACAGCAAACCACGGTGCAGAGCAGCCTTCGGCAAGATTTAGAGCCAGCGTGTAAGCTCCTACCGACTCAGCAATATAAATGGAAATTATTTTTCCTTCTTTTGACTGAAGGATAGACACAACATAAATCAGTCAAGTCACGCATGCTACAGCCCTAGTAACTTCCCAACTCATTTGGGAAATCATGCTAGCCACGCTGTGGAACTGCATTAATAATCTCATGGATAATGCGTCTATATTGGGAATTTTATCCATGAGAATACCAGAACTAGACTAAATGTCCAGGTCAGGAAATCTACGCCAAGCTCCTAAGACTAAGAGCCACTGTAAGAGATGGGGAACAGAAAACAATTATTTTGCTAACACAATTGAATAATTAATATTACCCAAAGATATCCAAAGGGGGAACACACTGGTGAAGTGATTTGGAATAGATATTATGGTGGAGGAAAGCTATAAACTTCCCAGTCTGATCTGAGCAAATTTGGCAATGGAGGTGTTTACGTCCTTCAGCTCTCGCTGGATCCAGCTCAGGCTGTAACCCCTATTCCATCAAACAAAGTGTATCCTCACCGCTTACCTCTTTAGGTGCAAAGATTATTTTACAGAGCCTAAAATATGGTAATCGTCTTTCTAATTTACAGTGAATCTGGGCTCAGTTAAATTAGCTCTTTGTGTACCACAACTGTGTTCTGCTTTCAGGTTCCTCTTTACCCTCTCCCCATTACTGATGAAGAAAAACCAAACTGAATTTACAAAGAAAACTGCAGGTTTGACAGGGAGAATGAAGTTGTTAACTGGCCTGAGCAACCAGATTTGTATTAATTGAAGTGAACTAATTAATCCAGCAACATCAGTCTATAGAAAAAAAAAAAAAGTGAAATATTTATGCTTCTGCAGTCAAAAAGATATTCAAGGAAAAGGAGAGAAGATAACTGTCTCTTTATACAGCACAAAAAATGCCTGACAGGAACCTTCACCCCAAAGGCCCTTCTCCATCAACAGAAGAGGCATTCTCTGTATCAAATCTGTGTGACAAATGCAGTGTTTTCTCATTTCTTCTAGGTTTGTTGCTTCACATATTGTTATTTTAACTCTGCTTCTTAAACCTTTTATCAAGTTTTAAGGGAATGAGGAACTAATGCATGACATTAAGCATGCACAGCGAGAAACCGCAGTCTTTTGTAGGCCCACAGTGGCTCTGAACAAATTGCTTGGGTGTCTTGGAGTTCAGTAACTTTTTGTATATATTGTCTGTGGTCTACTCACAGCAGCTGCAGAGTGGATGGCACGTGGCCTGTTCCATCTCCTTTCTCATGAACTTTATGCCATACAGATAAACAGAGAGGAATGGACACGCTTTCTGCTGGGATTACTGCAGACTCCTGCTAGCCTACATCCAACTCAGAAGGAAGCATATCGAAATGAATGAATCAACACTTAGAAATACTGTGCCTATATAGGGAGCAAGAGACTCATGTAGTCAGCAATGGTACTTCTGTACAGGTCAAGTGCCTTTGTAAAGCCAGCCCTGAATATGGCATGTGATCGATTGTTGAGAAAAATCACATGGTTTTTATTTATTTTCCTTGCAAGCGGTCCTGAGGACTAGGACTAGGACTTCCTCTTTTTCAGGGAAAATATAGGGTTAATTTTTGCACATAAGTGCAGTGCTGTGATTGAAAGGGAGTCATGAGAGCATCTGCTCTAACTTCAACTGCATTCAGGATCTTCAAGCTCAGATTAAGCAGTCCTGTCGTTGAGGAGATCTAGGGGAAGGTTTGAGTCTCAGCTTCAGCCCAGTAAATTGCAGTATACTTTCCAAAGTATTGCAGTATAATTTTCAATGTCAGGGGCAGATCTTCCAGAAGGAGAACAGATTTACATCCCATTTCAACCTGTCAGCTCAGAATTTGGCCTTGCCTTTTGTCCACTGCCATCATTAATCCCATTGATTCATTTTGCTAATATCTACAGTGACTCTTGCGGGGAGGCAGCGATCTGCAACGATAAAAACAAAGCAAAGACTTCCAAGCACAAGGAAGTCACGAAGTTGCAAGATTCAGGCGTGACAGGAGGCTACCAAAGAACCAGGATAGATGGTTCAAACGTTATTGGGATGACCTGGTTCATGTGCTGCAGAAGATCTGGTGATACCAGCATATCTGTGTCACAGAACGGAGCGCAGAGCAGAGCTGTTCAAGCCAGAAGAGGCTGGGACAATAAGTCTGCATGGCACAGCATTGCCCAGACCTACTGGCTGAGGGCTGAAGTGGTGTTGCTGTGTTATCACAGCCTTGCATGCCCTCAAGCTGCCTTCTCATCAGAGCTGAGGTGTGTGCAGCCAGCTCCGATGTCTCTGCTGGACCAAGAAAGGGCTGTGACGCTTCCGTGCCTGTCCATGTCCCAAGGTTGCAGCTGTCTCGTTGTATTGGTGTATGAAAGCTGTGCTGTCATTGCAGCCTCCCCTCTGGGATCATTAAGGACAATGAACATGGATCCAACAGAAATGGCTCCTAGTCCCACTTCCACAGTGGATAATAACTCCTCACCCCCCAAGACATAGGTGAAAGAGAAATAATCCCTTAGACAGAGGTTAAAATAGCACCAGCAGTAATATCAATGACAAAGGAAAACTGAAGGAACAGGGACGGCTTTTTCACAGATTCAATATGCAGATCTTTACAAAGCAACACATGATCCCTTTCTCATTTATGCTGAGGTGTAAATATTTTATTCACTCTTCTCTCACTGCTGGGTAGCTTTAACGGCATTTGCTTTGGTAAAGTCCTGAGCTGCAGTAAATCAAGTACTGTTTTAGGCTACTCACCATGGTCATGGGCAAAAACAAACAAGTTAAGTCCTGTCAGCCTCTGGGCCAAGTCATCATAGCGGCCGCAGTGTTCCCCAGCGCCATGAGCGATAAACACGAGGGCCCTAAATGGAGCATTAAGGTATAAATCATTAACTTGGCAATCAACGCACAAAGGCTTCAGAGCTGCAAGCACAAACAGTATATTCAATTCAGCAACAGCATTTCAGACATCAGCAAGTACACAGCGAGTATGTAATGGCCGAGGTGGGTTTTAACAGAGGAGAAGTGATTGCCATCCTGACCCGCCATTGACCTGGTCTTCACCACGTGTTAGCAGGACAGACCACATGGATGTCAGCTGCTCATGGGATGGACACTGCTCTTTCCCATTTCCCTGCCACCATGGGCTGCTGCAAGTTGAAGATGCAGATGGGCATCAGCATCAGTCCTTCAGCTGGATAACTCCCTCTTGGGCTTGAGGCCTCCACACTGCTCTTACAGCAGAAGTGTTGCCATTGATTTCTTTGGAGATTGGCATTTCTCCCTGGTTTCAAATATAAATATTGTCCTTAACTTTATACCTTGCAACACTGTCTGATGCTACAGAGCACTCTTAAAGATGAAATTTTGGCTAAAGAACAGGTCTCAAGCAGAGTCCAGAACTTCGGTTGGAGTTTGGAATTTTATCTCTCGACCCCAATTCTGGTAATTTTACCATTCCAGTTTCTGCTCCAAAACAGTTGCTTCACTTTGGTGATTAAAGTGACTTTTACATAGCCACCATATGACTACAGACAGGGATCATAAAAAAAACGCAGTCTAATAGACAATTCTTTTTGAAAGACATGCAAATACTTATTTTCAAAGATTCCAGTTTTACCAATGATGCTTTACTTTTACCAGAATGGCATCAAGTGAGAGTGACTGAAGTTGAATGAACCTTCCCAGTGTTTTGTTTGTATAGAATTAGACTAGAACTACAGCAGAAGTAGCAATGAAATTACAGAAGTTTTGCTGAATTCAACAGGTGACTATTTAAAATCCAGCTTTAGCAACATAAACATAACTTGTGTGTTTAAAAGAACCATCTGTCGTTGCAACATCAGCAACCACAGAACAGTTTGAAGGCTACAAGTTAGACATTTTCAGTACATTAACAGTGAAATATTAAATGAACTGACAACATAAAATAATGACAGCAGTTCACGGCTAGTGAATTCCTCAACTTTATTTTGATTGAGGTTTTGAATACATTTTTAGACAGTGTATTCACTGCAATAGGCTGCTTTGATCCTAATATATTTAAACTTAAAAAAGATGTTGGATGATGTAGAAACTCCCGCTCTAGCTCTTTGATTAGCACCTGCTTCAAAGTATTTGCTCATGCTAGACAACTTGAAAGAGCATCCATTGAAGCCAGTAGGATTTTACGGAGCACACAGCAAACACAAAAGCAGCAATGCAAAGATGGTCTGGTATTTGTCAAATACAAATTAGCACAGGTAAGGTTAAGTCACGTAGCATATTTAACTTGCTGTGCCTTACAAATGTTCTTTAGTATCACTGAAGGATTCAAAATGATTAGCGTGGAGCAATCATTTCTTCCTTTGTCATCTTCCCCAGTCAATAGATTTGTCAAGTTATCAATGCACTTGCCAGACCGTCTGATTTTCAGAGTGCAGGATCTGTTATTATAATAGCTCCAAATGCTGAAGAAATTGAGAGACTGCTCATTCCACAGCGGAGACTATTAACTTTCTGCAGCAGAGGCATCATGGCGTTACATGTCCCCCCTCTCCCAGACACAGGCAGCCCAGCAGAGACTCTGCGGCCAGCACTGGAACAGCGAGTCATCATTCTACACGTGCCCCTGAAAACTGGAGGCACCATCCAAATGCTTCTGCCTCCACCTACGCATAATGGTCTGGTATCTCAGCCCTGGTCCTGGGTCACCTAAAGAGACCACATGTCAGGGTCCCCAAGGCTGGGGCTGGCAGATCTGCCAGAAATGCAGCATGGGGGCTGGGGGTAAAGCAAAGCCAGGCTGTTAACCCGCATGCTCTGGACTCTGAGGTACAGCAAGCAGTGGCACTGCGTGCACAGGACTCCAATACAGAAACTAAGGAAATGTGAGAGAAAATTCCCACTACCTATCACCTTGATATCCAACAGACCCAGCCAGGCTAAGTCTCTCTGCCATATACCTCCTATTACCTGGCTCTTGACAGCATCCCTGCTCAGTGTCTTACTTAAGCCCTCAGTTACTCTTCAGAGGACCTACCTTTTTTCTGCTGACTAGGCACAGAGATTAAGGTGCAACTTTGCTGACTGAATACAGCCCTTCATTTCTCAGAGAAATATTAGTTGAACGCATGCACTGAAATGCATCAAGTGAATGAAACCTAATGGGAAGCTGGCAAAGAGATCTCTGCTAGGAAATTATTGCTGTTATTTCATCCCCCTGACAGCAAAGCCCTAATTTTGCTTTCATTCACACTGATGCAGCACCACGACTTTGCCTGACAGCATCCTGCTCGACGCTCAGCCCCCTCATCTTCTGTGAAACCAGTGAGAAAAGAAAAAAACTCAACGCTTCAGAGAGGCAAGGTGTTCCTGCAACCTCCCCTCTCATCTAGCGCAACAACTGCCAGGCCTTGCAGAAGTGAGCCTTGGGACACCACGGGGAAGAGACCTGGTTATTATTTGTCTGCAAATTACTGAATAAAATTCCTGAGACTGTGTGTGCCTTAAGAGCCCTCTGTTTGTGCCTTACGAGCCCTAATGGCAGTAGATGTCGAGAAGATTTAGATACTTCTGAAAGTTTTGCCCTATCAATAGTCGTAAACAAGCAATAAAATTTCCAAATTGTTATGTCGAAACAGAAGTAGCTCGTTTTGTTGCTCAATAAAAAGTGAGAGTGGCTTTACTGACTAAAAACTAGGTCACTTCTACACAGCTCTTTAGCTCCAGCTTTTGGGTCTAAGTACAGGGGCCATACATCAAAGACAACAGCTTGAAAAATTGAAATTAGTACGAGTATCATCTGAGCAAGGATTGAAGGATTTGGCTCTTTCACCTAATCTCCCATTTTCCCTTATAAAACAAGTTTAGATTTGGCAAACCATACCTGAAGGCAGTATAACAAATACATGGTGCAACATATTTTCACTAGCAAGCTGGCATGAAAATGCAGCGAGTGATTAGACTGACTGACAGCAGTTCTTTACTGTATGTAAACATTTTTGCAGACACCCCGGCTCTCGAATCACAGCCTGCTCTTTCCTACCGCAAGGGCTGGAACAACAGAATATCAGAGACTGCTTTCAACAGTGTCGCTTAAAATTAATACAGAAACCCTTGCAGGCTTTAAGATTTTGTAGGGCTGCGGTGTCTCTGTGTGCAACCTCAATGGAAGTTTTGTTTAAACAAGGTTTGCGTGTTGGCCACGTATCAAATCGATCCTGGGGAGAAATTTCTTCACCTCCAGCTCTTGCAATTGCACTGGTGAAATCCTTGGAGATATGCACGTCTCAGGTAGAAAACACTGTGCACAGCCTGCAAAGCTTTCTGGCGGGGACTGACCTGTGCCTGAACCCACGCTAGCTCTGGTCTCTCTAACCGCAGGCTGGGAAACCTGACGGATGCGTCAGCTGGCTTTGGCTGGTGGAACTGTAATTGCTGAACATCTCGAAATAGCATTGCTTTGGCACCTGCTCAAGAAAGCACCTAAGCACACAACAGCACGACTTCCCCCCGCTTGGCAGGTGCGTCTGCACACAAAGCCAAGGTGTGAGCTGAGCGTGAGTAAGCATCCACGTGCTTGCTCTCACCTAACTAGTGCAACAAGAACCACAGCTATTAAAGGAAACCAGTGTATCGACTGCTGTTCGCAAAAGCAACAGATGGTTTTCACAGATCCCTCCCCTTCCCATAGCCCTCACCACCTCCTCCTCCCTCCCCACTGCAGGTTTCTGCCTCCTGGTACCGCGCAGCTTGGCAAACAGATGCAATTACTTATTACAACAAGACGGCAGGACAATATTTGTCTTTATGGTTCAAATCAGCTACTGGGTGTGTTTACTTCTCTTCCATTAGGAGGTGATGTTATATACCAGTGACCAGTCCCGGCTCCCACATCTCCACTGTGCTGCTCACCCATGACTGGTACCAGTCCCTGCTGCGTTGCAGTTGCAGCTTGCCAAGTAAGCACCACACCGCGATGCCGCAGGTGCAGCTGGTACAAGGCACAAGCAAATATCCTTTCCTAAATCAGGGAGGTTGGGAGTGGTGGAGGCCAGGCTGCAACGCAAAGTCGGTGGGCACAAACCCGTATGACCACATTGTCTTTCTGTCCTGTCTCTCGGAGAGGTCACCAGCTGATCTAAGCTTTAGCTCTTTGCAACCCTTCCATATTTCTCACTGTAACTTCACACCCTCTCATAGTTCACTTCGGGTGCGGGGAGCAGCTTTGCAGGGCAGGAATTCAGCTTTAGGTGCAGGAGCAGAACCAGTTTTAGAGGTTCCCACCTTCTTTATTGCTGGACACATGTTGCCCCCTCTGCCGTGCCAGTACAATTGCTTAGAGATGCAATTCCATAACCAATTGCAGGAGAAGAATTTCAGGGAGAATAAACTGCAGCAGCGGGCTTACACAAATGAGCAAGAGCCCTCCGAAACCAGGGCTCTGTCATTCAAAGCAACGTACCTTGAAACAACACTCAGAAAGCTGCTGTGCCATGAAGTCTGGCAGGCCAGAAACACAACTCAGGACTTGGGTCCCGCGGGGCATAGGACCCATGTTCTTGCTTTATTTTCAACAAAAATCATGTTGAAACTGAACTACGAGGAAGGTTGTGAGCGGGATGGTACGATTTTAACATCTTGCGTCCTCTGGGGACAGAGGTCCTTCTGTGGGACCCCGTGCGTGCTCTTTTATTGCCAGAACATAACCCAAAACACTGGGACTAGACCAAAGAGCTGAAGACAAGCTTCCTATGACTGCACCTGTGAAAAATGCAATCTTTTCCACCCCATTCAAAAGCATCCCTCCTCAGAACAATATTTAAGTACTTGCTTAACCTCAGGAAACTTTCTTCAACTCGTGAAAGTCAGTAGGACTTAA